CTTTTTTTTTCTGCTTATGTGGTGCTGAGGAATCGAACCCAGAGCCTCATGCATGCAAGGCAAGCGCTCTACCACTGAGCCACCTTCCCAGCCCCCCGAAAAAGATCTTTATCCCAAAGCAACTAACTCTTGACACTCTCTTCTCTCTCTCCCTCTCCTCCCCCCTCTCTCCCTCTCTCTCTCTGTCAGATGTGGACCTGGACACTGTCCCTGAGCTCTTTGTGTTCAAGGCGGGTGCTCTACCCCTTGAGCCACAGCACCACTTCCCGTTTTCTGGTGATTCATGGGAGATGAGAGTCTCACGGACTTTCCTGCCTGGGCTGGCTTTGAACTGGGATCCTCAGATCTCAGCCTCTTGTGAGTGACCTGCGCCTGGCTGGCTTTCTCTGGTCTGGGTGACCTTGGTGGCGTGTAGCAAAGAACTCCGGCTGTTCATGGAGGCCGCCCCATTTATCTCGCTGCGTAAAGCCAGCAGGATGTTCTAAGCATTCCAGACTCACTTATTTCCTCATTCTGGCTCAGAGATTTGGGCATGAATCAAATTTTCTATAGAGGGAAAATTGCCAGATATTGTGTTTAGTTTTTTTTTTAATCATATGTTTTAGATTTAGTGGGGAAATGCCGAGGTATTTCCTCTCCTCCGTTAATATCCCTGCCACTGCAGCAAGCTACACATCGCCCTTGGGCTTTTGGTTCCAACATCAGTACAGGGAGGGGGGACAATCTGGGAAGCCCGCGTGGCTCACAGGGTTATCTTCCGAATGTCTGACGATTCTATTACCTTTCCTCCCCCTGCAGCTAGGATGCTCCACACACAGGAAGTCCTCACCTCCAATAAGTTACGCAGAAAAAGCCAGAAGTGGTGCTGTGGCCTTGAGCACAAGAAGCTCAGGGACAGCGCCCAGTCCTTGAGTTCAAGACCCAGGACCGGCAAGGAAAAAGAAAGAAAAGAAAAAAGAATTCATTCACAAAGATGACAGAATCCAGAATCTCTGTAACACTCTACCTGCGATTCTAGTAGTCAGGAAAAAAACATCACCAAAGGAATGGGAAACTACGGCAGGGAACAAATGAGCTCACTCAGAAGACAAATGTTCCAGAGAGCTGCTATAAACATGTTTAAAAGAAAGGAAAACATAGCCAGGGAAATGCATACGTATATGGCGTGGAAGAGAGAGCAGGAAAATTCCACAGACAAATGAAAACTATAAAAGGGAGCCAAAGGGAAACTCTGTAATTGGAAAGTAACTGAAACGAAGAAAACGCACAGAACAGCTCA